TGGCTCTGTCTCTCGCAACAAATGTAACGGGTTCTTTGACGACAGAGACGTTGTAGTAGATGCAACACTTAGCTATTTATTAACACTTAGCAACGTTACAGCTTCACACTCGAAGAGGTAAACGGCCTCTTCACCCGCTGCTCTCAAGGGAGGTGTTGCCAAGCTAACGTCGCCTACTCCCCACCTATGCCTCGACCCTTTAAGGGAGGCTACCTGAACCTGGCCCAGCCAAGGCGCAGGTCTCGACCGCCAGACACACGGACCCAGGGCCCTTACAAGGACGTCGGGCCCAGAGGCTTTGGGGTCGCACCGCTGGCTTGCTCTGCCCGGCCCTTACAAGGGCAGCGGGTCAGAGAAGTCCCAGGGTGTCTAGCTAGCTGGACCGCAGTCTTCAGCTGGTTCTTCTGGCTTCGGCTTGTCAGTACTGCCCAATTCTCTCGGGATCTCACCTTTTATACAAACTCACCGAGGGGTGGGGCTCTGTGGGATCCCAGGACACCCCACAGCCCCCTCCCCTCCCCCCCCCCCGGGGAGGGACCCCGGCTAGGAATATCACGATCGCCCTGCACAGCTAAGTAATGGGGAGTTAGCCTGAGCTGGTGTGCGTACGTCTCGATACCACCATTACACATACACGCCCCCGCGGACTCTCGCGATGTTAACCCCACCGAAAGATAAATTGTGGCACGGTGCCGACAATGGGTCGCTGCGGGCGAATGGAGTGGCCTGGGAACCATGCAGGCATGACCGTGGGGAGCTGTCCCCGGCGTGGACGATGGAGCAATCCGAAATTTTAGGCAGTTGGGCAAATACTTTCTAAGACTCGTAACGTCACTTCTAAGCGTGGTTGGGGGAACCCGCAGGACCCGAAGAAACAATCCACACGACCACGGGGAGAGAGAGAGAGAAAGACACCGCAAAACTCCAAATCTACAGCAGCAGCAGCAGGCGTCGTGATGGTCGAGATCGAACCCACGACCTCCTGCGTACCAGGCGAGGTAGCTAACATCTCCTAGCCAACGTGATGCTGATGACAGAGAGAGAGAGAGAGACATGCAAACTCCAAATATACAGCAGGTGTCGTCAGGGCCGGGATTGTACCCACTACCTCCTGCATATCATCTCGGAATTCTCCACTAAGTGGTGGTGATGTCACCACGGTGCCTGTGCCAGGCTAGGTGCACTTTTGAGGTCACACAAAGTGTCAAAAGTTCCCTGCTAGCAGGAGGTCACGGGACAGGCCCAGGTGCCATGGGTTGACTGCGGTACCAGGCTAGGTGCAGGAGAACGCGGGACAGACCCAGGTGCCGCGGGTTGACTGACTGAGATAACTGGCAGATGCACCACAACCATCATCACCATCACTATCATCATCATCATCTCGCTCATTTCCAACAGAATCACCGCCATCGTCATTTGTCACCGTCGCAGGAGGGAGGGAGAGATGGCGTAGAGAAGGTTGGCAAGTTATGGCGGACTCCCCACGTGAGTGGGACAGACACGTGGAAGAAGAATAAGAGGACATCTTACGATTACAAATAGAGTAATTTAAATACCCCCCCCCCCCTGCCCGCCTCTGATATCTGCACCTGATGGGTTCAGTGAAGACGTCGTCCAGCTGCTCTAAAGCCGGAAGCGGGTGGAGTGTTTCACTGTTCTCACAAATCGATGATGCTGGTTAGGTGTGATTACTCAGCGAAATGTCGCACTACTCAAATTGTAAATGCTGTGATATTTACTAATCCCAACACACCGGTGGGCTGAAGTAGTAGGTGTGACGTCATTCCCCTTCCCCCCCCTCCTCCTCCACCCCCACCCCATAGGTGTTACGCCATTCCCCTCCCCCCTCCTCCACCCCCGCCCACCCACCCCCCATAGGTGTAACGTTATTTCCCTCCCCCCCCATTGGTGTAACGTGTTTCCCCTCCCCCTCCTCCTCCACCCCCCGCCCACCCACCCCCCATTGGTGTAACGTTATTTCCCTCCCCCCCCATTGGTGTAACGTCATTCCCCTCCCCCCATTGGTGTAACGTTATTTCCCTCCCCCCATTGGTGTAACGTTATTTCCCTCCCCCCTCCTCCACCCCCACCCCCATAGGTTTAACGTTATTCCCCTCCCCCTATTGGTGTAACGTCATTCCCCTCCCCCCCATTGGTGTAACGTTATTCCCCTCCCCCCATTGGTGTAGCATCATTCCCCTCCCCCCATTGGTGTAACATCATTCCCCTCCCCCCATTGGTGTAACGCCATTCCCCTCCCCCCATTGGTGTAACGTCATTCCCCTCCCCCCATTGGTGTAACATCATTCCCCTCCCCCCATAGGTGTAACGTCATTCCCCTCCCCCCCATTGGTGTAACATCATTCCCCTCCCCCCATTGGTGTAACATCATTCCCCTCCCTCCCATAGGTGTAACGTCATTCCCCTCCCCCCCATTGGTGTAACATCATTCCCCTCCCCCCATTGGTGTAACGTCATTCCCCTCCCCCCATTGGTGTAACATCATTCCCCTCCCCCCATAGGTGTAACGTCATTCCCCTCCCCCCCATTGGTGTAACATCATTCCCCTCCCCCCATTGGTGTAACATCATTCCCCTCCCTCCCATAGGTGTAACGTCATTCCCCTCCCCCCCATTGGTGTAACATCATTCCCCTCCCCCCATTGGTGTAACGTCATTCCCCTCCCCCCATTGGTGTAACATCATTCCCCTCCCCCCATAGGTGTAACATCATTCCCCTCCCCCCCATTGGTGTAACATCATTCCCCTCCCCCCATTGGTGTAACATCATTCCCCTCCCCCCCATTGGTGTAACATCATTCCCCTCCCCCCATTTGTGTAACATCATTCCCCTCCCCCCATTGGTGTAACATCATTCCCCTCCCCCCATTGGTGTAACGTCATTCCCCTCCCCCCATTGGTGTAACGTCATTCCCCTCCCCCCATTGGTGTAACATCATTCCCCTCCCCCCATAGGTGTAACGTTAGTCCCCTCCCCCCATTGGTGTAACATCATTCCCCTCCCCCCCATTGGTGTAACGTTATTCCCCTCCCCCCATTGGTGTAACATCATTCCCCTCCCTCCCATAGGTGTAACGTCATTCCCCTCCCCCCCATTGGTGTAACATCATTCCCCTCCCCCCATTGGTGTAACGTCATTCCCCTCCCCCCATTGGTGTAACATCATTCCCCTCCCCCCATAGGTGTAACGTCATTCCCCTCCCCCCCATTGGTGTAACATCATTCCCCTCCCCCCATTGGTGTAACATCATTCCTCTCCCTCCCATAGGTGTAACGTCATTCCCCTCCCCCCCATTGGTGTAACATCATTCCCCTCCCCCCATTGGTGTAACGTCATTCCCCTCCCCCCATTGGTGTAACATCATTCCCCTCCCCCCATAGGTGTAACATCATTCCCCTCCCCCCCATTGGTGTAACATCATTCCCCTCCCCCCATTGGTGTAACATCATTCCCCTCCCCCCCATTGGTGTAACATCATTCCCCTCCCCCCATTGGTGTAACATCATTCCCCTCCCCCCATTGGTGTAACATCATTCCCCTCCCCCCATTGGTGTAACGTCATTCCCCTCCCCCCATTGGTGTAACGTCATTCCCCTCCCCCCATTGGTGTAACATCATTCCCCTCCCCCCATAGGTGTAACGTTATTCCCCTCCCCCCATTGGTGTAACATCATTCCCCTCCCCCCCATTGGTGTAACGTTATTCCCCTCCCCCCATTGGTGTAACGTCATTCCCCTCCCCCCATTGGTGTAACGTCATTCCCCTCCCCCCCATTGGTGTAACATCATTCCCCTCCCCCCATTGGTGTAACGTCATTCCCCTCCCCCCATTGGTGTAACATCATTCCCCTCCCCCCATAGGTGTAACATCATTCCCCTCCCCCCCATTGGTGTAACATCATTCCCCTCCCCCCATTGGTGTAACATCATTCCCCTCCCCCCCATTGGTGTAACATCATTCCCCTCCCCTCATTGGTGTAACGTCATTCCCCTCCCCCCATTGGTGTAACGTCATTCCCCTCCCCCCATTGGTGTAACATCATTCCCCTCCCCCCATTGGTGTAACATCATTCCCCTCCCCCCATTGGTGTAACATCATTCCCCTCCCCCCATTGGTGTAACGTCATTCCCCTCCCCCCCATTGGTGTAACGTCATTCCCCTCCCCCCATTGGTGTAACATCATTCCCCTCCCCCCATAGGTGTAACGTTATTCCCCTCCCCCCCTTGGTGTAACATCATTCCCCTCCCCCCCATTGGTGTAACGTTATTCCCCTCCCCCCATTGGTGTAACATCATTCCCCTCCCCCCATTGGTGTAACGTCATTCCCCTCCCCCCCATTGGTGTAACATCATTCCCCTCCCCCCATTGGTGTAACATCATTCCCCTCCCCCCATTGGTGTAACATCATTCCCCTCCCCCCATTGGTGTAACATCATTCCCCTCCCCCCCATTGGTGTAACATCATTCCCCTCCCCCCATTGTTGTAACATCATTCCCCTCCCCCCCATTGGTGTAACATCATTCCCCTCCCCTCATTGGTGTAACGTCATTCCCCTCCCCCCATTGGTGTAACGTCATTCCCCTCCCCCCATTGGTGTAACATCATTCCCCTCCCCCCATTGGTGTAACATCATTCCCCTCCCCCCATTGGTGTAACATCATTCCCCTCCCCCCATTGGTGTAACGTCATTCCCCTCCCCCCATTGGTGTAACGTCATTCCCCTCCCCCCATTGGTGTAACATCATTCCCCTCCCCCCATTGGTGTAACGTTATTCCCCTCCCCCCATTGGTGTAACATCATTCCCCTCCCCCCCATTGGTGTAACGTTATTCCCCTCCCCCCATTGGTGTAACGTCATTCCCCTCCCCACCCTCCTCCACCCCACCCCCCATAGGTGTAACGTTATTCCCCTCCCTCCCTCCTCCACCTCCTCCACCTCCCCCCACCCACCCACCCGCGGTGACGTCGGCGCGCGGTTTGGCGGGAACGGGCGGTGCGCGAGGCGGGCCCCCGCTGGACCGTCTCCACGGCAACGCGGCGCCTTTAACATTAAACAACAACCGGCGGAGCGGCCCGCTCTCTCTCTCCGCATCGACGACGCAAGGTGAGGCGACAACTACGATTACAATTACAATTTTACCCCTTAAACGAGCGAGTCCGTGTTAATTGCAAAGAGGTTTCGCCTCAGGAAGGCAAAAAAAAACCCGGCGTGCCGATAATTAGTTGCAGTAACTTTGCTGGTGCTGCGCGCCATACGAGAGTGTCGAATGTGTAAATATCTCTGAGGTAAAAAAAAATAAAAAAATTGAATTCGCCCGCTTTTAATTTGTTTTTGTTTTATAATAAACGACGCAATGTGTATTGTTTGTGCTGCGTACGCTTAAACGCTAACTGTTGCGTTATTGAAGGGCTTAAATCCTCACGGCTATTTAGTTTTGTACCGGGGGTATGGTTCCAGATGTCTTCTAAAATAACCCCCTCACCCCATTTAATAGTAAAGTTTATTTAAAAACGGTAATTATAATGCAAAGGAAGAAAAATGTTTATTTTAAATTTAATTCGGAGGGGTCACAAGACATCTGGACCACAACACGATCCCCTCAGCAGTAGTTTGACCATACTTCGCCATTCCGGTCATTGCGGTTTGATTGGCGATAATCAACACTGATGTTGGCCGTGTTCAATAGCGTACGGTACGGTGCGCTAACCACTGCACCACCACTCCCTACTCACACAGTGCGCTAACCACTGCACCACCGCTCCCCACTCACACACAGTGCGCTAACCGCTGCACCACCGCTCCCCACTGTGACACACAGTGCGCTAACCACTGCACCACCGCTCCCAACTCACAGTGTACTAACGACTGCACCACCGCTCCTCACTCACACACAGTGTGCTAACCACTGCACCACCACTCCCCATTCACACACAGTGTGCTAACCACTGCACCACCACTCCCCACTCACACAGAGTGCGCTAACCGCTGCACCACCGCTCCCCACTGTGACACACAGCGCGCTAACCACTGCACCACCACTCTTCACTCATACACAGTGTGCTAACCACTGCACCACCACTTCCCACTCACTCAGTGTACTAACCACTGCACCACCACTCCCCACTCACACACAGTGCGCTAACCGCTGCACCACCGCTCCCCACTGTGACACAGTGTGCTAACCACTGCACCACCACTCCCCACTCTCACACACTGTGCTAACCACTGCACCACCGCTCCCCACTCACACAGTGCACTCACCACTGCACCACCGCTCCTCACTCACACACAGTGTGCTAACCACTGCACCACCACTCCCCACTCTCACACAGTGTGCTAGCCACTGCACCACCGCTCCCCACTCAGTGCGCTCACCACTGCACCACCGCTCCCCACACACACAGTGTGCTAACCACTGCACCACCGCTCCGCACTCTCACACATAGTGTGCTAACCGCTGCACCACCGCTCCCCACTCACACAGTGTGCTAACCACTGCACCACCGCTCCCCACTCTCACACATGGTGTGCTAACCGCTGCACCACCGCTCCCCACTTACACAGTGTGCTAACCACTGCACCACCGATCACCACTCACACAATGTGCTAACCACTGCACCACTACTCCCCACTGACACAGCGCGCTAACCACTGCAACACTACTCCCCACTCACACACAGTGTACTAATCACTGCACCACCGCTCCCCACTCACACACAGTGTGCTAACCACTGCACCACCGCTCCCCACTCACACACAGTGTACTAACCACTGCACCACCGCTCCCCACTCACACACAGTGCACTAACCGCTGCACCACCGCTCCCCACTGTGACACAGTGTGCTAACCACTGCACCACCGCTCCCCACTCACACACAGTGCACTAACCGCTGCACCACCGCTCCCCACTGTGACACAGTGTGCTAACCACTGCACCACCACTCCCCACTCACACACAGTGTGCTAACCACTGCACCACCACTCCCCACTGACACAGCGCGCTAACCGCTGCACCACCACTCTCCACTGTGATACACAGCGCGCTAATCACTGCACCACCGCTCCCCACTCACAGTGTGCTAACCACTGCACCACCGCTCTCCACTCACACACAGTGTGCTAACCACTGCACCACCGCTTCACACACACACACAGCGCGCTAACCGCTGCACCACCGCTCCCCGCTCACACACAGTGTGCTAACCGCTTCACCACCGCTCCCCACTCGCACACAGCGCGCTAACCAATGCACCACCACTCCCCACTGTGATACACAGTGTGCTAACCACTGCACCACCGCTCCCTACTGTAACACAGTGTGCTAACCATTGCACCACCGCTTCCCACACACAGCGCGCTAACCGCTGCACCACCGCTCCCAACAATCGTTTACTCATCCTCTTCATCTATCTCTCCACTGCTGGATGATGGCGCTGCCCTCTATCCCACTTGCTGTACTACACGCGAGATGATTTAATCGCCCCATCTCCGCCCTTGGATGTCCTTGTCTCCCTCTTGGCTGCCTCTCCATTTCTAAAGACTACTCTGTTTTATTTTACCAGGTGTAAGAAGGGCTGCTGTGTAGCTCTTTTTCAGAAGCGACCTGGCTATCACAAATGATAGCAGCTCAACCAAGTGACGGCTCATCATCATCATCAATACTCTAAACGCGTGATGTTGTTTCTAAATGAGGGCAACCCCCGGAGGAACCCGGAGGAGAATCCACATTACCACAGGGAGAGAGAGAGAGAGACACACACACACACTCCCAAATATATAGCAGGCGTCAGGGTTGGGGTCGAACCCACGTCCTCCTGCATACCAGGCGAGATAGTTAACATCTCGCCACGGGAAGCACATACAAACTCCAAATGTACAACAGGCGTCAGGGTCGGGATTAAACCCACAACCTCCTGCATACCAGGCGAGATAGTTAACATCTCACCACGGGAAGCACATGCAAACTCCAAATGTACAACAGGCGTCAGGGTCGGGATTAAACCCACGACCTCCTGCATACCAGGCGAGGTAGTTAACATCTCCAGGTACTCCGATTTTTTCTCTCCACATTTTAAAACATGCGTTCAGAGTATTGGTGTACTGCTATAAATGTCCACGTAAAGATAAGCCGCCAACTTCTTTAAGCTTTCATTTTTGGCCAGGTCACTTCTGAAAAAGAAGCTGATAGCTCAGTGGGCTTTAGCTGGTAAAAAAAAAATAAACATTTAGTTTAATTTAACAAACCACACAATGTCGAGCGTTGTCGAGCAAACATCTAAATCCTTAAAAAGTGCACTGAAAATTGTTGAACTCAATTGGGCTTCCGCTGGACATCTTTGAACACGACTGGCCATCTGTGAAAAAAAAGAGCTTCATAGCTCATCGGATTTCTCCAGGGTACGTAAAGATTCTAATCATTCTGATTCTGATCACTTCAGGAGCAACATCGCCCCCCGTACTGCGGAAATAAACATTGGCAGTCTCGAGACTCGGCGAGCAAACTCCCAGGTAAGCAAAGTGGAATGATTTTTTGTTTATTTAAAGCTTTCGTGACTGCAGGGATTCATATTCTTGGCTCTTTCGGTAAAGTCACGTAGTAGGGAAACAATAAAAAAATAAAAAAAATATTGTTTCATATATTTTTTTATTATTTTATTGTTTCCCTTCTACGTGACTTTACCGAAAGAACCAAGAATAAGTGGAATTCTAGATTTGAAGCTTTCGTGACTGCAAGGATCCATACTCTTTGGTTCTATTCGGTAAAGTCACGTAGGTAAAAAATAAAACAACAAAAATCACGACGTTTCGGCCACAACACAAGCGGCCTTCATCAGGTGAAGGGACCAGACTGCCTCGAAGACTGCGCTGGAGTGAAACAGAGCCAAGCTCAGACTACGACCGTTAAGCTGTGTGAGAGGGTCTTCTTTGGTTCTTTCGGTAAAGTCACGTAGAATGAGAATAAAATAATAAATCGATAAAATAAAATAACACAATAACATTCTCACGACGTTTCGGCCACAACACAAGCGGCCTTCATCAGGTGAAGGGGACGAGACTGTCTGGAGGACAGCGCTGTCACGAAAGCTTTAAATCGAAATGTGTGAGAGGGATTAAGGTGCCTTGACAGAGGAATTAGCATAAAAAAACAAGTGGAATGGTAACTACGACACTACTGCTGCACGTCACCTTTTGCATCTGTGGTTTACAATCGTGTTGTTTGCGCGCACGTGTGAGCGTGTCCATCACGCATTAGTGTGGCGAGCGGCAGCGTAGCAGCTAGCGCCACGCTGCGCTACGGCCCATAGGCCTCCCCCTAAGTCGAGTCGGCCTCAAATGAGTTACCTGGTGCGGTGTGCTAAACATCGCCACTGGGGGAGACAGAGGTCAACCAGGGGGGTGGTGTTGGCCACCCACCCCCCTCGTGCGCCACAGTGCCGGCCTTCATAGGCGCTCGCCAACAGCACTTGCCCCAGCGGCAGCCTCTTCAGGTTATGCGGGGAGATTTTTGTCTTTGACACGCGGCAGTGGGGAGCGGTGGTGCAGTAGTCAGTGCACAGGGGGGGGGGGGGGGGGGGTTGGTGTCCGGCGACCCGAGTTCGATGCACGCTCACGGCTACCACCGGAGACGAACACCCGAACCGCTCCCGGGCATCCCCTAGGTCGACTCAGCCCTCAAAATGAGCTTCCAGCGCGTCGTGGCGCTGGCCGACAAACCCCTCGTGTGACGTGCCCGGCATTCGTAGGTTCCGCTACTCGCTCTGACAACACCCGCCCCCCCCCTTTACAACGGTCTGTTGAAGGCTGCACGGGGGATCTTTGTCTTCTCCACACACGTCTGCTGTGTGTTTAGATGAAACAATGCACGAGAGAAAAAAAAACGTTGTTATTTTTTTTGCTTCTTATTCTTCTTGCAGTTTGCCTCTAACCAAAAAGTCAAAACAACAATGCAGACATTGCGACGGGAATCGCAACAAAAAAAAACCCACAAAGACACGACGCCGTGGCATCTAATTAACGGCACCGCCGTGGGGTTTTTGTTCGTTGATATTTCCATCCCGGTTGGCACGTTTCCCAATTAATGTCCGCGAGCGTCAATAACGCATTAATACAGTCAAGCGAGCCACGGCGGCGGCGGCGTTTGGCTGTTATTCACGAGCGGCAATCACTTTTCTCCGCCCTGCCCACCGCCTCTCACGTCCTTCTTTGTCTCTCTGTCTTCGTCAACCCGCAATCAGCGGCGTTGCGACCCAACCCCTTCCCGCCAAAACCCCCCCCTTGAGCGATGATTAATTGATTCGGATGCTCGGATCAAAAAAGCAAAGGCTCGCTTGGATAAATCCATCAAACGTCGAGGGCGGGTGTGAGGGGGTGGTGGTGGTGGTGGTGCCGATGGTAAACAGGATCCGTCGCATTCTCCATCAAAGACTAAAATCTAAACTTGTCATCGTCACGTGGCCATTCATAGCGGTCGTCAAACACTCTGAACGTTGAAGGAAGAGAACCGTTCCAGACGGCCGCATGAAAGCGCCGCGCGACGCGGTGACCGTCTTTGTTCCGCTGCCGCCGCTGCCGCCGCCGTCGCCGCCGTCACCGCTACGAGGACGACCCCGGAGTTGGCGCGACAACGGTTACACGCCCCTCCTGGACGAGGTGGGGGAGAGGCGTCGCGGCGTCGTTTGTAGGCACCGTGACGACGAAGTCGCGTCGGGGTGTTCGCCCGCAGGCCGCGTTCCGACAGCGACCCCCGGTTTTGGGACTCTGCGGACGATGTCCGAGCCTGGCGAGCCGAGGGAACGGGCGGAGCTGGCGCGCACCGCGCCTGGCGCGCAACTCCCTGACCACGCAGCCGCCGGAGCGAACGGCGTCCAAGGCAAGTGCGAGTGACAGGCCCGCTCGGGGCACTGCGGTGGCTGGGAGGTGTTGACTACCTCGCCTGGTATGGAGGAGTTTCGTGGGTTCGATCTCGACCCTGACGATGCCTGCTGCTGTATATTTGGAGTTTGTGGCGTCTCCCTCTCTCTCTCTCTCATCATCATCACGGTGGCTGGGAGATGTTAATCACCTCGCCTGGTTCGCACGAAGGTCGTGGGTTCGATCAAGACCCTGAAGGCGCCTGTTGTATAATTGGAGTCTGCGTGTCTCTCTCTCTTTCCCCGTGGTGAGACGTTAACTACCTCTCCTGGTATACAGGAGGTTCGTGGGTTCGATCCCGACCCTGACGATGCCTGCTGCTGTATATTTGGAGTTTGTGGCGTCTCTCTCTCTCATCATCATCACGGTGGCTGGGAGATGTTAGCCACCTCGCCTGGTATGCAGGAAGGTCGTGGGTTCGATCAAGACCCTGAAGGCGCCTGTTGTATAATTGGAGTCTGCGTGTCTCTCTCTCTTTCCCCGTGGTGAGATGTTAACTACCTCTCCTGGTATACAGGAGGTTCGTGGGTTCGATCCCGACCCTGACGATGCCTGTTGTATATTTGAAGTTTGCGTGTTCAATCTCTCTCTCTTCTCTCTCCCCGTGGTCGCGTGGATTTTTTTCCTCAGGGTCCGCCGGTTTTTCCCTCCACGTGTAGAATCAAAATCCGTTGATTCTGAACGTCCACGTGATAAGCCACTTTCGTTTGGCTATCATTTGCGATGGTCCAGGTCGCTTCTGAAAAAGAGCTGTACAGCAGCTCAGTAGTGGTCCTTGCCTGGTAAAAAATAAAATGATTTTCGTTTTAGTCCCAAAGCGGCCCGTGATAAACAGCCACTATTGTGACGGCACAATCGATAAGAGATCATGCCCCCTTTTTTTTGTTTTTTTTTAAATCGCAAAGATCGCCCGGCCAGCCTTAAGCAACAGTGGAGGCGAGCGCTGTCGGTGAGTGGCAGCACCGTGTTTGCACCACCGCACCAGGTACTCATTTGAGCGCTGAGTCGACCTAAGGGAGGCCCAGGACCGGTTGAGATAATCGTCGCCGGTGTCGGCCGTGAGCGGGAATCGAACACCGGGTCGCCGGGTCCACAGCGCAGCGTAGCGCCAACCACTAGCAAGACAAAGATCACCCCGCGTGTAGCCTGTGACAGACTGTTGCGGCGAGTACTGTTAGCGAGCGCCTACGAAGGCCCGGCACGGCAAACGCGGGGCGGGGCGGGCGGCCAACGCCACCGCCGGCCGTCTTCGTGTACCCCCCCCCCCCCCAGTGCTGAGATGTTTACACAGACACACCGGGTCCTCGTTTTCTAGACAAGAATCCACCGAGTGGAGAGCGGGACGCCCGGGGTTGCCGTCTCGGACACATTCGCCATCGACGTTGGCCGTGAGGGAGCGAATAATGATTAAAAAAAAAAAATAGCGTCGCCGGATTCATACCGTGCATGCGTACGTACGCGCCTCCGATTGGCGCGGCTGGCTATGTACGATGCGAAATAAGTTCGACGTACAGGCACACACGTGGGCTGACGTTTTTTTTTTTTTTACACCGCACCAGGTACTCGTTTGAGGCTGAGTCGACCTAGGGGGAGGCCCCAGATACCGATCCAGATAATAATTTCCATCTCGGTTGGCACACTTGCCAACGAATGCGCGCGAGCGTCAGTAATGCATGAATGTAGTCAAGCGGCGGTGGCGGCGGCGGCGTTTTGGTTGTTATCCATGATCGGTGAGCGGGAATCGAACTCGGTGTCGGCGGATCCGTAGCGCGGCGTAGCGCTAACCCACCAGCGCCGCCGCTACCCCCCACACACACACACGCGCGTGCGCGTGCGCTCACTCACGCGGGGATCTAATGGGGCGAGGTTAACTCCCCGCGGTCAGGGCACGGAGCAGTACAAACGGACGAGAGCGGGTGCGCTCGTAGAAAGCAGCGCGCGGAGGCCCTTGAAACGATTAATGTAATTCCTTTTGACTCGTCGGTAAGACTCAATGGCAGCGTTAAGGGGGGAGCCACGGGGAGCCGGACCCCCCCCCCCACCCACCCCCCCGACGCCCTCTCTCCCCCACCCCTCGCTCAGTGATTTCCAACTCAAAGCGACTAATTACCGGCCCAGATACATTTTTTAACTCAACTATTGAATTAATTTTACCAGGTAAGGCCCCACCGAGCTGCAACGCAGCTCTTTTTCAGAAGCGACCCTGGCCATCACGTATGATAGCTTATCATCATTTGATAGCAGTAGCCAAATACTCTAAACGCTCGATGTTTATTCTAAATGTGGAGGGAAAGCGCAGAGGACCCGGAGAAAAATCCACGCGACCACGGGGAGAGACAGACACGCAAACTTCAAATATACAGCAGCAGGCGTTAGGTTCGGTGATCGAACCCACGACCTCGTGCATGCCTGGCGAGGTAGTCAACATCTCCTAGCCACCGTGATGATGATGATGATGAGAGAGAGACACCACAGACTCCAAATATCCAGTAACAGGCATCGTCAGGGGTGGGGGGGGGGGGATAAAACGCACTACCTCCTGCATACCAGGCGAGGTAGTTAACATCTCCTAGCCACTGCTGGCGGACGTATTTCCCCTGGAGGGAGGCTCTAGGTTAGACAGTCCTGTGTCGAGAGCAGTGGTTCTCAACCTTTGTTGGCTGTTAACCCCCCTTGTTTAATTTCATTTCAACCGAGTACTCCCCCCAACGTGGTTCTGATAATTAATTGTATGAATAATGAACGTCAATATTTTAACCAATTGGCCATTCTGTGAGGTCTCGTAACTATCCGGTAACTGCGGGCAAATAAAAATCATAATAATTGGACATCATGGGACCTCCTTTGCCAGTATTAAAATAAAAAAATAGGTTTTACCCTTTCTGGCAATAAAATAGGTGTTAAGATGTTCAAACACCAAACATAAACCTTTTGCAAGGAATTAAGTTACTGCATTAACCACACACGGTTCGTGTGGTGAACATGCAACCAAAACATTCTCTAATAACAATATACGATGCATATTCTTGGTTCTTTCGGTAAAGTCACCACGTAGAAGGGAAACAATAAAATAATAAAAATATAAAACAATAAAATTCTCACGACGTTTCGACCGCAACACAAGCAATCATCATCAGGTGTGAAAACCACAACAAGAAGATTTGAAAAAAGTGGCGGTTATTTTTAACGTTAGCACCACGGAGAGCGATTTTACAGTTTGTTCAGATGGACGAGTCCATCTATGTACGGAAAAGAGGAGGGGGGAGACGAAAAATAATGGATGCGGTCTGAAAGCCACCTTAAGCGTGATCAATCAATTAAGGCCTGAAATGGTTTATCAAATCCTTCCAATGATTGCTAAGCCAGAATCCATCTTCTCGGTTGAAATTGTCTCTGTGCTTGTATATGTGGATAGCCTCATGAACGAATCTCTCATGGTAGCCAGATGCGTTGACGTTGAAATTGATTGGCCTAGACCAGAGACACCAGCAGCAGTCTTCTTGATGGCCTAAGTCTCATTAGCAGTGTCAGACGCCAAAAAACGAACAGCACAAAGACGATGCACTATCAGAAACATTGAGAGCTCGGGGTGAGCAGCTAAATCATGGGACCTCCCTTGCTCTAAAGAAAGCTGTCTCTGGTCTGGAGCAAACAGCTTTAAAGACAATGCATATACTACCAGAGCATGTGTTTTTTTGTTTGCATGTTCACTACAAGTATGTGTGGTTAATGCAGACATCTGCACGCAACTCCTGTTTCGCACTGCACGCGTGACTCAGTTTGTTCGCGTCCTCTGGTTGCTTTTGGACACCGCGTTGTTTACGATCGATGAGTTTAGAAAGGTTCTTTTATATCGTTCTAGCTTACCGTATGGATTAGCATTTTATCGTGGTCGATTTATATTGGCAGATTCACACGTGATTGTTCAGCAATGACTCGCGTACGATATAATTAAACACACTTACCGTACGTGCCCCCCCCCACCCCCACCCGCCTGAGGGATTGGCACGTAACCCCCGGGGCGTTCCGCGTACCCGCCCCCCCCGGATGAGAACTACTGGTCGCGAGGTTGTATTTGGCCTACTCTTTCATCCTGGCCAGACGTCGTGGAAAAGGTGGGAGTAGCCACCACTACCGCACGCGACGCCTATAATATTTCCGTGCCGGGGGGATGAGAACCACTGGTCCAGAGGGTGTATTTGGCCTACTCTTTCATCCTGGCCAGACGTCGTGGAAAAGGTGGGAGTAGCCACCACTACCGCACAGGATGCCTCTATTATTTCCAGACGGCCAGGAGATGAGGACCTGCGGTTTTTTTTTTATCAACCTTCCCTCTCTCTTTCTCTCTCCCCCTCTCCCTCCCCCTCCAAAATGGGACCCCTTTTTTTAAAGTTGTCCCCCTTTGTTGAGCCGCGGCATGAAAGCAGCCACGCGGGAGGGGGGGGGGGGGGGGGGGGGGCGTCCGCGAACTCATCAATTAAACATCTTGCTCTCTGTATACCCGTTGTTAAAAAAAAAAGGGTCCATTCGGGCCACCGGCTGCTCGTTACGATTTATTTTTCTCTCTCTCTCTCTCTCTCCGAGGCTTTCTCTAACCCCCCCCCCGCCCGCCACGGCGCCAATCTGCCACGGCGGCGTGCCTCACCGCAGTCGCGCACCGCGCGACCTTCTGCGGCAACTTTTGAAGTCCGCCACCACCGCCCGCCCGCCCGCCCGCCCGCCCGCCCGCCCTCCTTTCCTCATTAGCTGGACGGGCAGTGGAGATAATCGAGACTTGGTGTCAATCCACCTGGCACTCTCGTTGGCCCCCACGTCCGCTGCCTCGCAAATGGACACGTGGGGTTTACGGGGACTCCTCTTCTCACGAACGCGCCAGGTTCCAGAGGTCTTTCGTTCGTAAGTCGATTTGTTCGCGAGTCCAACTTTTACGCCCGCCGATTCCAGACGTGTTGTACGGCG